TCGCTGCAACATCGCCCTTATTCTGGCGTAGAGCTTTTTCCATAAAATGTCTGAAAGCTGTCAATTGCTTTATGGGTTAATCTGCCAGCTCCCGTTAGGCCTTTCCCGTCTGATAATTTTTTCCCTTTATAGTCAGTGACAAGTTTTCTCAGACGGGAGCCCATTCTCTTCTGAATATGCCCAATGCATTCTTCTTTTTGGACGGTACACAGCGCTCCATAGGGTATACACTTCTCTATCATTGAGAATGCAGAGCTGTCACCATCACCGACAAATGTCGTATAGCGGAGACCATATTTCTCGACGCTTCTCTCCCACAGGATTTTGGCACCCTGTGCCTCCATGCTCCCAGCACTGCCAAAGTGATTCAGGTGACAGTCTGGCTCATGGCGTACAGCCCAATCCAGATACTGGGCTGTCCCATCTTTTCCTTTCCAACGCTGGCAATCAGTGCAGTGGGAGCACATGTATACTCTATCTAGCACCTTCCCAGTGTCCACAGATATCACGCACACAAACCCGTGCCGCGAGGAAAACCCTCTCCTCAGCCATGAGCCATCGACTGACATGAACTGCAATGTCGACAACCAGCTCTTGCATCGCCGTTTCATTGTGTAGAACAATTTTGGCTTGCTCTGAGCTGCAAGCACCACCGGCTGAAACTTTCATTTGTTTGACTTCTATTGCAGATTTTAAAAGAACCTCCTCAAGAAGGTCATCGTCTAGTCGAGTTGCCATTTCTTTACTTAACCTACTATAGGGTCCTGGGCTCAGAGGTTTTGGCATATCACAGATGCTGGCAAACTTTAGCAGTCCTCGTCTGCCGCGTCCAATGCACCTCATCGCAAAGATGACCTTCTTATTGATGTCATATTGTTTGCCTGTCTTACGGCTGCTATGAAAAGATGAGGAATTTATTTTATATGTTTTCTTGCACTTCCTATTGCTGCACAACAATGCCAAACGTGTTCCAAATCCATGCCGTTGGCCACGTTCCTTCAGTTGGATTGATCCCTTTTTGCACACTCGACACACTGCTGCCTCCTTCAAGTTGTGATTTATGCTGGCCATAGACATAATTCTGGTGTCTGCTTTACACTCCTCACCACTGGAATCGTCGGAGCTGCTGCTAGTGCTGCTAATGGTGAACTTTTGTTGGTCCTCCCACGAAGAACAGCCTGGCTGCGCATCCTGCACCGTTTCCAGTCTTTGCTTCTTGCCTTTAATAAAAAAAAGTTCCTTTAGAATCATTGAATGTTAGTGTACCAGTATTTATTTATATTTTATATAGACTTCTTGTTCATACTTCTTAGTTAGCTAGTGTGTACCATTCAGAACTTTATTGTTTACATGTTGTTGACAAAATGTAAAACATATTCCAGCTATAATAAACATATGTTACTCCAAAATAATCTACATGTCTGGCTTGCTATAAAGTACTCGCTATTTCTGCTTCAATTGCTCGCTATTTTGATTTACAAACTCAAAGAGGGTCGATTTTCACAGAGGGTTCGGGAGTAGGCGTAGGCGACTACCTAGACGCGTTAGTGGAGTAGGCGAGGTACGGTACGGCATATTAGATAGTACCAGCCTACCAGGGTACGTTCCGGTATACCGGACCGCACCCAAGGTAAGTTCCGGCAGGGCGGCGGCCGTACCCCGGGGGATGATAGACCCTATCAGCCAAACTTTTGATACCGAACAGAATTCATAAAATCAATTCAACGATTGTGCTTTACAGTTTAGTCTTCGCATCACATTATAATTAGAGTTAGTAACTAGACTGATCGTCAGCATTGTACACGATACCGCATTGTAGCTGATTCTACTTCAACGTAGGCCTACCTGATCTTCGGAGCTGGAGAGAATCCTTCTTCACTGCTGCAAACGCATATCTTGTTTTCTTCTTGCGGCCCATTGGACTATTCGAGCAAAACTAATGTAGATAAAACTTCCCAACTTTCAACGGGGTTCTGTTGCAGTTCTTCGAGCGATAAACGTTATAAAATACTTATATGAGGTAAGGTAACTGTAACTTCTTCTTTATTCGCACGAACAATGAAAATACAAATGGCGGCGGTTGGCAACCGGTTGCGCTTGATCGCGTCTCTGACGTCACCAATACATGTGTATTTAAAGAGCCGCTGGCTGCGCCACAGGCGCGTGGACAGTAGCAACGCTCTAAAAGCTGACACGCACTGGTATATTGCGAAATGAGTGTGTACAGAGGTGGCCTCTAGTGTCAGCGAGCGTATAAGAACGAAAACGAAAAATCGATAAAATTTCATGCGCAACGTGGATAGTATCCTTAAGTATCTAGGAATAGACTTGGAAGACTCCATGAGTGCATGGTGTAGTAATGGGAATTAAGGTTGTAAAAAAGGTTACCAAAAGATTAAAATTTCTTTCCAGAAAAGCTAAGTAATTAAACACGGCACATAAAAGATTACTAGTTTTTGCCCTAATTCAATGTAATTTTGACTATGCAAGGAGTAACTGGTACAGCAGTCTCACAAAGCGCCCAAGGACTAAGTTGCAAGTCAAAATTCGGACAAGTTAAAATTATTTCTTGTTG